CCGTGAAAAGTAAGTCACTTTGGATACTCCTGATAGTAAATTGCCAGGTAGAAAGGTTCAACCACTGAAAATTATCATACAAAATTTTTGACTTTTAGTAAAAGAGACTTCAAATAGTTTTCAATTTAGGAAAGTTTTCTAAAGGGTGTCATATACCAGCTTGAAACTCACAAACTATAAGTTACCTGACCCAGGCAAAGCAAATACAGAGTGATAGGGCACAGGCAGCTCTAGTGTGCTTATAAACACAAATAAACAGCCGAGTCTAAACCTATTAATCAAATAATTTAGCCATCTGGTTAGGTCAAGGCAGGCTAGAAAAGCTATTTAAAAGGCAGAGTGATGGCAATGGACGGTTTCTTCCCTTTTCTAAGTCTCCAGGTTATCCGTACCTATTCAGCTCAGCTACTGAGGGATGCCCCTAGATAGATGCCCTGTCCTTCAGAAGATGCAGGGAATTATTGCAGGTTAAGAGAAGGTGATTTCTCCCTGAGGAGGAAAAGGAGTCTGGATGGCATTGGTGCTGACTTTCAGCAGTGGTTATCCACCGCAGCAGCATCTTAGCATCAGATTCACGAGGTGGGACTCAGGCACCAAACATTCCTAAAGCTTCCCAAGTGATACACACACACATAAATATTTTAAGAGAGATTTTTGCTACAGGGCATGTGTGCTCACTGGAGAGACAGAGAGACAGACAGAAAGGGAGAAATCACCCCCCCTCCCCCCAGGGGAATGGCCATGCTATAATCCCTCTTCCTCCATTTTTCTCTTGGGATCTCAGGCATGCACTCACACATGTTGGGTGTGAGTTTTCTTCTTCTTTTTTTTTTTTTAGAAAGACTTTTACTACAGGGAGTGTGCCCTCGCAAGAGAGAGAGAGAGACAGAAAGCAAGAAATCACCCCCCAAAGGGTTGGTCACGCAGCAATCCCTTCTCCACTCTCCTCTCAAGATTTTGGGCAAACATGCACACCTGCCCAGCATGAGTTTGAAGCGGCCAGGTTCAGGACTTGAACCAAGGGTGACTACGTGGTTCACCATCTGCTGGTCCTGAGATATAAGGGACACTTTAGCTACAGGGCAGGAGCCTTCCCCAGAGAGACAGAAACAGAGACAAAAAGCGAGAAATCACCCCCCCCCCAACCACCACCACCACAATGGACACAAGGCAATCCCTTCTCTTTCACTCTCCTCTTGGAACTTTCCAAACGCAGGCACATGCTCTGGTTGTATTAACCCACTGGGTGCAGGACTCAACGGTAGTAGACTATGTGGGAGTCCAATGAACTAACCATTACTCCATCTGCTGTTCCTTACCAGGTGATTTTAATGTGAACCAAACTGCAAAACTTTTTAGGACGGTGGGCCTCATTTTAGTGTCCATCAGAATCACTTGGAGAAAGGACAGCTACTACTAGGCTCTCCTCATTCCTCTTCAAAGCTGAAGCTGAACTGGGGTCAACCACTACATTGCCTCTCTCGTATTAGTCTTTATTTCACTGATCTAGGAAATAAACACCCTTCACAGGTCATGTGAACTGCTCCAAGATGGTTAGACTCCACTTAACCACTGGCTTTAGCAGGCCTCTTTGCTGGAGCAATCTCTTCCCGCCCTAGAGATGCAGCTCCAGCCAACCTGCTCAATTCATGAACTCTGCCCGCCCTGCCCACCGGGCCCCCAGCGTCCTCCCGGGGTGCGCGCGCAACAAGCTCGCTGCTCAAAAGGCGCAGGCGTGTCCCTAGCCGGTGCGCCCGCCGCGTGCTGCGCAGGCGCGAAGGGCTGCTGGAGCCGCCGTCATGGCCTGCGTCAACCCAGTGGTAAGGAAGGCCCTAGGCTCTGCGTAGAGGGAGTGCTCTGGGACTCCGGCATCCTGGCAACCCAACGCTACTACCTTTTGCCTTCCCAGACCGTTCCCAGACTTTCAGGAATTCTTTTCTCTAGGGAGCTGGGGCACTTCCTCACCTCCTACTTGGAGGAGGCTGAGAAGGGCCAGTGTTTGAGACGGAAGTTGGGCCCGGCCCCAGTGGAAGAACAGTTGTCCCTCCTCTTCTCACCCAAACTGTGGCTTTCTAGGTTCAGGTATTTAGAAGGTGTTTGGAAGTGGTACTTCCTCTTAATAATGTTGGTTTTCTGTATGTTCAGGAAATTCCCAAGTTCAGTTGTACTCTAGTTCTTCATTTGAGTATGGGTATTGTTGAGTCCATGCTGTATCTAACCTGAAGTGATCTCTCTTTGGAGAGATTTTTTGCTATGGGACATGTGTGCTCACTAGAGACAGCAGAAAAATCACCCCCACACCTCAGTTGGCCACATAGCAATCCCTTCTCCATTCTCCTTTCAGGATCTTGGGCACACACACACACACACACACACACACACACACACACACACGTGTGCTTGGTGTAAGTTTTAAGTCACTGGGTCTGGGACTTGAACTGTGGCCAACTACATGGGAGTCCAGTGATGTAACCATTATGCCATCTGCTGGTTCACTGTGTTTTAACATACATAAACTATGTGTACTTGAATATGAGATGTATCAGTTTACCTGACTGAATTCCAAGAAGAGTGTGTATGTTTCATTTTAAATAGGGAGTTAAGATGGACTTCTGGGCTATGGGTAGTTTTAGTATTGATAACAGATGGGAAAAGCAACATAAAGTCTAACTAGAAGATTAAAGTCTTAGAAGAAAAACTATGTTCAATACTTATTTTAGTTGTGGAAAGTTGTTTAATGGGAGCTGTTGTTATACTCTGAGGGCAGATCTTAAAGATGTTTTTAGTCCTAGGAGATTTTCCCTGTAGTTTTAAAAGTAATCACACTGGCTGGCATTAACATTGAAGCATTCATTTAATATGCCTTTATCCAGATAAACTTTTTTTTTTTTTTAGAGGTTTTCGCTATAGGGCTCGTGCGCTCGCCAGACAGACAGAGAGACAGAAAGCGAGAAATCACCCCCCAGTGGGGATGATCACGCCACAATCCCTTCTCCTCCATTCTCCTCTTGGGATCTTGGGCACGCACGCACACGCGCCCAGCGTGAGTTTTAAGCCACCGGGTCTGGGAAGCGAACCGTGGTCGACTACGTGGGAGTCCAGCGACATAGCCATTACGCTAACTGCTGGTTCCCCAGATAAACTTTTTTAGAAGAAGCATCTAGTCTAGGGCAGTTTGTCTTAATAGATATGCTTGTGAATAATGTATTATGTAAGTGTTACTAATTGGCTATTCATAGGCTTATCCTGGGATCTTTGGAAGGCTTAGTTTAAAACCTAGCTACTCTTGGCATCAGCAGGAGTATTTCCAGTATTTACCAGGTAGAATGAAAAAGCAATCCTAGAATGCCACAATTTTCCTTTTGGTCTAATTAAGCATTTTGAAATAAGAGCAACTCAACTAAATTCTTGTTTTGCATTTCTTAGTGGTGGATCTTCTATTCAGAATTGTCAGCCTACTTAGCACTACCATTTTGGACTGGGGGTTGTGGTGGAGCACAATTACATGGATTTGAAGGACTGAATTTATTTCATATGCCCATTATGTTGACAAAATCAATGTTCAATATGGGTAGAAACCTGCTTAATTTTTGTTGTAATGGCATGTTTTTACTAGGATGCATTTTAGGATGTTAGTCTGTATGTAATGGAAGGGTAGGGTTTGTTCATGCCTTTCTTATGTTCTGTTAGGAAATCCATTTTGGTGCAGTTGTGCTTTTACTTGGCAATGGTTCTGAATATGAATAAATATGTATACATATTTGATTACATGTCTTGGAAGTGGAACAGGCTTTGATTATTGTACTAAGTGCTTACCCCAGTCTTATGTCTGGAAGTTTATTCATGTTTGTGGTAATAACATAGTGAACCTTAACAAAAAGCTCTTTTGGTCACTCAGAGAAAAAGGTAAGTTGAAATCGGGCTTATTTCCAGCTGCCTTAAATTAATTTCGCTTTTTAAAAGGAATGGGAAGATTAAATTCTGACAGAAAAGCCAAGTAACTTATCAATAACCATACATTTTTATGAGATTGTTACCTAATATTTTATTGTAGTCCTTAGGGAGTGACAGGTAGCATGCTGGTTAAGGGCACTGGACTCCCACATGACTGACCATAGTTCAAGTCCCAGACCTGGCAGCTTGCTTTCTCAGTTTCTCTCTCTGTCCCTTTCTAGTCAAGTTAAAATAAATCAATAAATCAATAAAGTTAAATAAAATAGAGGCTATAAAATATAGAAAATGGTTATAGATACTAGATACAAGTGTGGGAAGAGGGTGGGAGAAGGAGGAGAGACTGAAGAAAGACATTAAGGAGAAAAATAGACAAGACATTTAAGAGACAAAGAAATGGGTTATTATCTGTTGATGATAATGTGTATGGTATCCCCAACTGGACTGGTAAGAAATGTATTCATGTTGGAACATTCACTTTACAAGCTAAGTGACAGATGTGATTGAATATGTTAAAGAAAATAGAATTAAATAAAAAGTTAAATAAAATAATTTTTATTTTTTATTGGGGACCAGCAGTTGGCATAATGGCTATGTCACCGGGCTTCCACGTAGTGGACTGCGGTTCTAGTCCTGGACCCGGTGGCTTTGATTCACACCAGGCGTGTGGCGTGGATGCCCAAGATCATGAGAAGAGAATGGAGGAGAGGGTATTGCAGCGTGGCCATCCCCCTGGGGGGTGATTTCTTGCTTTCTATCTCTCTATCTCTTTCTTTCTGGCGAGTGCATGCGCCTTATAGCAAAAACCTCTTCAAAAATTTTTTTTTATTGTAGTCCTATAATTCAGCCTTGTAGATAGGCTGAGCCTATGGGTTCAAAGCTAACACAATTTATAGAAGCTAAGTCTACACTGGGAGTAGGGTGTACTTAGCAAAAATCCTTATGGTGGTTTTTCTTTAGAAGATTAGAAATTGCACACTGCACGTCTTTTAAGGCTAAATGCATCCAAACTTCAGAAATGAGAACTTTAAACAATTGCTTTTATGTAGCCTAAACTCTACAGATCTGTAATTGAAGATGTAATTGAAGGAGTTCGGGATCTATTTGCTGAAGAAGGTATAGAAGAACATGTCTTAAAAGATTTGAAGCAGGTTTGTAGACAGCATTTGTTTCTTTTATTGTTATTTCAGCTTAACTGATAAGTTACAGTGTAACTCCTCAATTATACTTAATGTTTTAACCATTCATTGTACTATCAGCATAATTTAAAAAACAGAAATAAATGTCCTAATATTAAAAAAGGAATGCAAAACTTTCTCCCCCCTCCCCCCACAGCTCTGGGAAACCAAGATCTTGCAATCTAAAGCAACAGAAGATTTCTTCAGAAATAGTGTCCATTCATCTCTGTTCGTCCTTCAGTTGCCACACAGCTTGCACCAAACATTGCAATCATCAACAGGTGGGATATAATTAGTAAATTAGGTCTATGTATTTTCAGAGCAAATTTTTTTTTTTTTTTGAGAGGTTTTTGTTATAGGGCGTGTGCACTTGCCAGCCAGACAGAGAGAGATAGAGAGACAGAAAGTGAGAAATCCCCCCCCAGGGGGTATGGCCACCCAGCAATCCCTTCTCCTTCATTCTCCTCTGGGGATCTTAGGCGTGCACGCATGCGTGCCCGGCGTGAGTTTTAAGCCACCAGGTCCGGGACCCGAACCGCGGTCGACTACATGGGAGTCCAGCAACACAACCATTATGCTAACTGCTGGTTCCTCAGAGCAAATTATTTGGTAGTTTTTTTTTTTTTTGTTGTTGTTGTTTTTTGTTTTAATTTGGGTAATGTTTATAAAGTGAAAGGGCTTGGACTGCAAAATCATTTATATTAAATAAACACATTATAAATCACCCCATATAATTATTGTTTAAAAGACACAAATTATTCAAACTTGTTTTTAGAAACATTAAATTATGCAAATGTAACAAATCCTTACTTTGAAGGAACAAATTATATGGTGTGTGGGCTATTGGGAATACTCAATGGCAATTTCAGAGAATTCGACTGGGTCTCTGGTCACAGAACAATCAGCTGCCACTGGTGAAGTAGAAGACGCGAAGGTACGTGCCTGCATGTTGTACATTCTCTCTTTTTCTCTTACATTCTGCATATATGATACTTTTTTTTATTGAAAACAAAATGGAGAATTAACAAGAATACAGAGATTATATTTCAGGCTGACTTTCTGTTTTGGATATATAAAATGATGGTTAGAAATTGATAAATTTTGATGGATTAAAAAATTTAGACTTGCTAAATCTAGACCTTTACTTTTGGAGGAACTATTTGTCCATATTATGAGTATAAACTTAAACTGGGAAAGACTAGCTAATAAAGATAAAACTCATGCAAACTATTCTTGTTAGCTTTTATTCCTTTTCTTTTTCCTAAAATCTTTACGTGTGTGTGTGTGTGGGATAGTTTATATATGTGTGTTAACGGACACAAATAGGTTTCATTTTGATTTACTTGAATTTTTAAAAAATTTCATTCATTATCATTTTTAATTTTCTATAGGACATGTGTGCTCACCAGTGAAAGAGAGGAGAGTGAGTGTGCAGAGTAAGAGAGAGACTGAGAGTGTGAGTGACAGTGAATGAGCGAGAGAGCGTGCGTGAGTGTGCATGAGTGAGAAAGCAAGTCACTAGGTCTGGGACCTGATTTGTGGTTGGCCATGTGGGAGTCCGGTGCATTAACCACCACACCACCTGCTGGATTCGGTTTGCTTGAAATTTAATAGAGTAGTATCTGCCAGAAGTGAGGGTAAATTTTGGAATGGATTGTTAGTAATAAGTACTACTCTTTTCATGCTTGGCAAAATTCACATGAAAATTACCTGGGCTAAGCTGAAGAGAAAATAGTAAGCATGGTAGCACTTCTATTACAAAATAGAATTTGGGACCAGAAGTTAGTGTAATAGCTATGTTGCTGGACTCCCATGTAGTTGACTGCAGTTCAAGTCTCGGACCCGGTGGCTTAAACTCACTCCGGGCGCTTGTGAGTGCGCGCCTAAGATTCTGCGAGGAGAATGGAGAAGAAAGGATTGTGGCATGGCCATCCTCCCTGGGGGGGTGATTTCTTGTTTTTGGTCTCTCTGTCTCTTTCTGGAGAGTTCACGTGCCCTATAGCAAAAACCTCTCCCCAAAACAAAACAAACAAAAAACAAACAAAACCCAAACAAAATAGAATTTAAGTGTGGCAGCAGTTATAACTTACAAAAAAATCAAGTAAATTAATGAATATTGAACTACAAAGTGCGTGTTTTATCTAATATGATTATAAAGTATAATTTGCTCTATAAGAATTAGCTATAAATAGTTTTAGTTGTTAGTTTTCATTCTTGGTCTTTTCTAACATCATTTGTAACAGAAGTTTAAGAGGAAATGCAGGTATCCTTTTGAATATGTATTGTAGGCTTTGAATATTGCACTTCATTTCTAGAGATTCTATAGTAAGATTCTTTAATTAAATAGCCTCATAAAATTGAAGTATTTTCGGGAACCAGCAGATGGTGTAATGGTTACATCTGGACTCCCGCGTAGTTGACTGAGATTTGAATCCTGGACCTGGTGGCTTCAAACTTGCACTGTGCGTGTGTGTCCAAAATCCCAAGAAGAGAATGAAGGAGAAGGGATTACGGCATGGCCATCTTCCTGGGGGGTGATTTCTTGTTCTGTCTGTCTCTGTGTCTTTCTGGTAAGTGCACATGCCGTATAGCAAAAGTTTCTTTAAAAAAAAAAAAAGTTGAAAGACTTAATTATATCTAATAGGATTTAAAAAAAACCCATTTAAAATAACTGACATATTGACATATCGAAAGATTTTTCTTTAAATGTTGAGTTTTTGGTTGTGCTTTCACTTTCTACTTTACTATTTTATAAGGACATCCCCTTCTCTGTTTATTTTTATTTATTTAAAAAAATTATTTATTTTTTTGGAGAGGTTTTTGCTATAGGGCGCATGCACTCGCCAGAAAAGAGAGACTCGCCAGAAAAGAGAGACAGAAAGTGAGAAATCACCCCCCCCCCCAGGGGGGATGGCCATGCCTCAATCCCTTCTCCTTCATTCTCCTCTCGGGATCTTGGGCACGCACGTACACACACTCAGTGTGATTATAAGCCACTGGGTCCGGGACTTGAACTGTGATTGACTATATGGGAGTCCAGCAACATAGCCATTATGCCAACTGCTGGTCCCAAAAAGAATTATTTTATTTAACTTTATTTTAATTTGACCAGAGATGGAGAGAAAGAGAGAGAAAATGAGAGAGTAAGCTGATTGGTCCGGGACTCAAATCATGGTTGATCATGTGGGAGTCCAGCACCTTTAACCACCATGCCACCTGCTGGCCCTCCCCTTCTCTGTTTAAATAACATTCTTTTGGAATTTTTTTCTTTATTAAAGAATTATAAAGATACTTTGTTTTTACATTTTAGATTGGCATGAGGATATGGTTAGTATGGAGGAAGAAAGCACTTGTCTTTTATGAAAAGACTAGTAAACATTTCTCAGGTATCATTCAGCATTGTAATACTTGATTTTGCTGCAAGATGGTAATATTACCAATGATTTAGATCACAAAATAGTCTTGCAACTAATATACTTAGCTAACTTTTAGTCAGCACCTTATTCTGTGTCTTATAATAATGGAAATAATTACATTTTAAATATGATAGTTTTTATCCTTAGTCTTTTCTACATCTTTTATAACAAAGAGGTTTAAGAGGAAATACAGGTATCCTTTAAATGTTCATGGTCGGCCTTGAATATTGCTCTTCATTTGTAGAGATTCTATAGTAAGATTCTTGAAATAAATAGCCCCTAAAATTGAAGTACTTTTAAATTATATCTTACAGGGTGCTTTAAAAAACCTGGTTAAAATAACTTCTGTAACCTTTTATCTCTTTGATAACAAGTTCAAATTAAATTGAATAAATCATTTGCATTTGCCTGTTCCACCTTTAAAACTTGTTTGTTCTACCATATTTTCCTTATATTATTTATTCATTTAATAATTTCTGTATCTTTTCAACTTTTTTTTGGTCTTTAGGACTTTTATTTGTTTTTGCTATAGGGAGCATGTGCTGAGGGTGGGGGGAGGGAAGGAGGGAGGGAGAAATCATCCCCCAGTGGGTATGACCATGCTGCAATCTGGGGGCGGGGGTGCGGGGGGGGGGGGGAGGGAGGGAGGGAGGGAGAAATCATCCCCCAGTGGGTATGACCATGCTGCAATCTCTTCTCCTTCATCCTCCTCTTGGAATTTTGAGCATGCGTGCACATGTGTTCAGTGTGTTTTTTAAGCCACCTGGTATGGTACTCAACCCTCACAGTTGGCCGTGTTAGATCCAGCCCCTTAACCTTCTGGACACCTGTTGGCCTCTAGGACTCCTTTGATCTTCTTAAAAGGGATTACGCAGGGGCTGGCAGGTGGTGTGGCAGTTAAGGCCCTGAACTCCCACATGGCTGACCTTGGTTCAAGTCCTGGACCTGGGGGCTTGCTTTCCCTCTCTCTCTCTGTCTCTGGTCAAATTAAAATAAATGAATAAATAAAATTAAATTTTAAAATAATTCTTGAAAATATATATAAATAAAATTAAATAAACAAATCTTTAAAAAAATTGAGAACTCCAAAGAACTTTTTTAAAAATTCATGTTATTAATATCTATTTAACATATTGGAAATTAAAACAAATGTTAAAAATGTTGGATTATTTTTATTTATATATATTTTCAAGAATTATTTTAAAATTTAATTTTATTTATTCATTTATTTTAATTTGACCACACATACACACACAGAGAGAGAGAGAGAGAGAGAGAGAGAGAGAGAAAGAAAAGAGAGAAAGAGAGAGAAAGCAAGCCACCTAGTCTAGGATTCAAACCATAGTTGGCCATGTGGTAGTCCAGTGTCTTAACCACCATGTCACCTGCTGGTCCCCTATTTTTATTTATTTAAAAATAATTATTTAATTTTATTTATTGTTTTTTAATTTGACCAGAGAAACAGAGGGAAAATGAGAAAGCAAGCAGCCAGGTCCAGGACTCAAACCATGGTCAGCTATGTGGGAGTCCAGCACCCTTAACCACATGCCACCTGCTGGCTCTAAAATGTTGGTTTATTAATTTAAAAATCTGACTACATGTAACATAATAACATACTTATGAAAATAATAGTTTTTTTTTTAATAACAATTATTTAGTGAGAAGAGTGGTATTGTTTTACTTTTCTACTGATCTTCTTGTCTGGCTTAATATAAGAAAACTTGATTCTCTATTCTCTTGAAATATCCATTTCTTATTATTTTTTTTTAAAAATAATTATTTATTCACTCATTCATTTTAATTTGATCAGAGAGACACAAAAGGAGAGAGGGAAGGTGAGAAAGGAAGCCACCAAGTCTGGGACT